TTTAATCGGAGCAATTTGAGTCTTTAGGTTAGCAAAGCTGGTAAAGGCATATATCCAGCTGACATGCAGCTGTAACAGCAATGAGAGGCGGTTCAACAACTATACACCAGGCCTTATTTCTTTGTGTCATTTTCTTCATTATTAAACTTTAAAATGCATTGAGGGATTTAGTTTTAACATGTAAAATTGTTGGAAAAGAAACAAACACTAAAAAAAGCAAAACGTTTGAGGTTCTACGCAGACTTGGTGTGACTCCATAATGTACATGCCTTGATGTCCAGCCAGCTGGACCCAGGAACTCTGGCGCCGAAGCGACCAATGCATCATGGTCAGGAAGGTTTTCCAGGTGCGACTCTGAGGGATAAATAACCAAAGAAGAAACTATGAGTTCTTCATGTGGGAGGGGGAATCTGACCTTTATCATGTCTATCTAGGTCATCCTATCAAAGGATTGACCAACCTGAGAAGAAATCTATGGGTAAAGTCAAAGTCTTATTTCTGTTTTTATTCTACGATTAAACTTTAGCAAACATCTTCTAAAAAATCTCCCTGTGAGCCAAAGGTTTAAAATGTTTATTTTCTCCAAACAGAGCATAGCTGTAAACTTAAGATCTGCTTTGTATATACACAAAACAGCTGCTACGAGACAGAGGAGTTGCACAGAAAAACAGAAAAACAAAAGCTATAGCTGATCTGAGCATGCTCAGTAGAGACGCTGGACCAAAATGAAAACATGGCTTTAGTTTATGTTGTTTATTCAACAACAATTGAGCTTTACTCTAAAATACTATTGATTCTGAATTAGTTTTTACTGTGAAACTCGCCACCATCAGTCCTACTGCTGCTTTTCTTTTTTGTTTGATGGTTCAAACACCCTGAGGCCAGGGAGTGAAAAATCTACTTTCTAGTTGTCCTCCCACTGTTTGCTCCTCCCTTAACTCATATCTGTAGCAGAAACAGCCATGCAAACGGCATTCAAATCCGACCGTGTCAAAGTCCTCTTTCAAGCCCATGCAAATCAGCTGGACCACAGGTGCAGAGAACAGTTAAGAAACATGGTTTTATTTCTCTTCCATTTAAACAAACAAAAAAAAAAAAAAAACGCAGCAGAAAGATGCAGAGAGGGGATAACAGACTAATAAACTGGATAAATCCCTTGGAATGTAGATTCCAGGTCAACCATTCATGAATAAGGTGTTCTTACCTTCTTGAAGGTTTTTCTTTTAGACATTGCATCTTCTATATCACTGAAGACCTCGTCACTTTCTGAAGAGAGGTTGATGGAGGAGCAGGAGGAGGTGGAGGAGTGCAGCAGCTTGGAGAGGATTGGATGCCGATGACTTGGCATATCTTGGGCCTCCTCGTTCGACTCCTCGGGGGCCTCCATGCTGCTGCAGTTCCCCTCCTGAGCTGCTGAGGTGGGAGAAGGTTTCCCATCTTGTTTCCCCTCATTGTTCTCACCTCTCTCCAAACTGGAGCTTCTCCCTCTCCAGTGTTTCCCCTCATCCCTTTCCTCATCATCGTGCTCCCCTGTTATTTCACTCTCATCAACCCTCCTCTTCCCACTCCACCTTCCTCTGTCGCAGCCGTCCGTGCCGACATCGAAGCTCCCTCCTTGTCTCTCTTTCCTCCTGGACCTCCATCTGGCTCTGAGAACTTCCCGGGAATACTTTGCAGGGTCGTCCACTTCATTAGGTTTTACATGAGGCATATCCTCCTTTGCATTTGATTGGCAAGCCATTTGTAACTCAGAGTCTAGATCATTGTCCCAATCCCCGTCTTCTCCCAGTCCACCTATACACTGGCTGTAAGGAGGGAAGCTTTTAGTGGCCAGGAGCCTGGGCCGGAACCTGGCTCTGACTTCAGTGCAGCTGCTGGACGGCTCATCACCAATTGACAGATGTTGGTGAGTCTCATCTGAGAGTGCAGTACATGAGTCAGTGTCTTCTATCTCTATCCCCTCCATCTTTAAGCCCGTTCGGTCCTCTGCTGTATCCATGCTCGAGTCCCGACTGGAGCAAAGGTGGCGATTCTGCTCCATGGACACAGCATGTGCTTTTGCAACAGGGAAATATTTACAAGAGAGCCACAGTTTTGAATACGATTCAGGAAATGCATTTACAGGCATGAAAAACAAAGACAACAACTTTAAAGTTTTCTTTAAAAGGACAAGTTGCAGAATAAAACTTTCCAAAGCTGCAGGACGCCTCTTACCTTTATCCAACGTTGAGTTCAGAGAGAAGCAAAGCCTTGTGCCTGACATGGAGTTACGTCCCCCCCCTGCATTCTCTGTGTTGGAACCACAGTTTGCATGTGGTGACGTTATGATGTTTCCTAAGCTTGGGTCTGGGCTGGCTGATGGAGTTCAGCCAACAGCGCCTCAGGGCACAATGACATCCAGGAATGACGGAGTCAGACACTGCAGAGTACCATGTCCTCCCTCTGCTTTTATCACACCAACTAAACTGTTAACCCCACATTACATGGAGCCCATACAAGGCAAAGCTTACCTTAAATGGTGAATGTTTTAAATGAAAATGATACCCTGATGTTTTTAATGCTTGATAGGTAAAACAAGCTTATTGAAAAAGATAGAACCTGTAAAACAAGGTGGAGCCATAATGGTTTTATCACATTTCCACTGCCTCTGTGAAACGAAAGCTTGTTTAAATAGACAAAAATAAATTCAAAATTCCACTGAATTATAAATCTACATTTGTATGTGTTAAAGTTTTATAAAGGAGGCCATTCATGCAGTTAGGTGAAAAAAAGTTACTTGAAATACAGGTGCTGGTCATAAAATTAGAATATCATGAAAAAGTAGATTGATTTCAGTAATTCCATTTAAAAAGTGAAACTTGTATATTATATTCATACATTACATACAAACTCATATATTTCAGATGTTTATTTTGTTTAATTTTGATGATTACAAATGACAACAAATGAAAATCTCAAATTCATCATATCAGAAAATTAGAATATTACTGAAGACCAATAAAAACAAAGGATTTATAGAAATGTTGGCCAACTGAAAAGTATGAACATGAAAAGTATGAGCATGTACAGCACTCAGTATTTAGTTGGGCCTCCTTTGGCCTGTATTACTGCAGCAATGCGGCGTGGCATGGAGTCGATCAGTCTGTGGCACTGCTCAGGTGTTATGATAGCCCAGGTTGCTCTAATAGTGGCTTTTAGCTCTTCTGAATTGTTGGGTCTGGTGTATTGCATCTTCTTCTTCACAATACCCCATAGATTTTCTATGGGGTTAAGGTCAGGAGAGTTTGCTGGCCAATTAAGAACAGGGATACCATGGTCCTTCAACCAGGTACTGGTAGCTTTGGCACTGTGTGCAGGTGCCAAGTCCTGTTGGAAAATGAAATCTGCATCTCCAAAAAGTTGGTCAGCTGCAGGAAGCATGAAGTGCTCTAAAACTTCCTGGTATGTGGCTGCGTTGACCCTGGACCTCAGAAAACACAATGGACCAACACCAGCAGATGACATGGCACCCCAAACCATCACTGACTGTGGAAACTTTACACTGGACTTCAAGCAACGTGGATGAAGTGCCTCTCTTCTTTTCCTCCAGACTCTGGGACCTTGATTTCCAAAGGAAATGCAAAATTTACTTTCATCAGAGAACATGACTTTGGACCACTCACCAGCAGTCCAGTCCTGTTTCTCTTTAGCCCAGGCAAGACGCTTCTGACGCTGTCTGTGGTTCAAGAGTGGCTTGACACAAGGAATGCGACAGCAGAAACCCATGTCTTTCATACGTCTGTGTGTGGTGGTTCTTGAAGCACTCACTCCAGCTGCAGTCCACTCTTTGTGAATCTCCCCCACATTTTTGAATGGGTTTTGTTTCACAATCCTCTCCAGGGTGCGGTTATCTCTCTTGCTTGTACACTTTTTTCGACCACATCTTTTCCTTCCCTTCGCCTCTCTATTAATGTGCTTGGACACTGAGCTCTGTGAACAGCCAGCCTCTTTAGCGATGACCTTTTGTGTCTTGCCCTCCTTGTGCAAGGTGTCGATGGTCGTCTTTTGGACAACTGTCAAGTCAGCAGTCTTCCCCATGATTGTGTAGCCTATAGAACTAGACTGAAAGACCGTTTAAAGGCTTTTGCAAGTGGTTTGAGTTAATTAGCTGATTAGAGTGTGGCACCAGGGGCCATCAATTTTGAACCTTTTCACAATATTCTAATTTTCTGATATGATGAATTTGAGATTTTCATTTGTTGTCATTTGTAATCATCAAAATTAAACAAAATAAACATCTGAAATATATGAGTTTGTATGTAATGTATGAATATAATATACAAGTTTCACTTTTTAAATGGAATTACTGAAATCAATCTACTTTTTCATGATATTCTAATTTTATGACCAGCACCTGTACATAACTGATGTCTTTCTGTATCTAAAGAGTTTTACAAATTTTATAATAGGCCTAAAATAAAGCTGATCCACAAAAGTTATTTTTGAAAACCAAAATATGAAAATAGGAAAATATTTAAAAGAAAAATGGGACATCTTGGTAATAAAATCATTTAGTTTATTGAGAAGCAACACAACAGTCAACATAGTCTAATAAGGAGTTTAGATTTAAAGTGTTAATGACCTGGAAGGGTTTTAGATAAAAAGCATTATTAAAAAATATCTGTAATTTTAAACTGTGGCTCCTTTTCCTTCATCTGCCTTCAACTTTTGCCATGGTTTGTTGATGCAATTAGGAGAGTTTAATCCTTCTACCTCATTCAGTTATTTTCATTTCCATCCATCCATCCATCCATCCATCCATCCATCCATCCATCCATCCATCCAACCATCCATCCATCCATCCATCCATCCATCCATCCATCCATCCATCCATCCATCCAACCATCCATCCATCCATCCATCCATCCATCCATCCATCCATCCATCCATCCATCCATCCATCCATCCATCCATCCATCCATCCATCCATCCATCCATCCATCCTTTCCATTTCAGTTTCCTTACTTCCGAATTCATAACACAAACCCTCATACGATCAGAAAATATAAAGTATTTATGGGGAGTCAATTCAAAGCACAAGTTTCTCCCAGTAAAAAGCTGAACCACAGTCTGGAGATGGGATTCCCAGTATATGAAGCAAAGTTTAGGGAAAACATTTCTATACTTCAATTTTGAAATCTTGAAACTTTTACAGAATTCTCTGTATGAGTTTTGGGCTAAAACTCATTAGGCTGCCTTGGATTGGTACATGTCTCCCTGATTAAGTGCATGTTGGTTCTGTGTGTCTGTGTTGCTGCTAAGCTGCAGGTGGCGCTCATCCTCACTTAGGTCTGTGGAATCAGTTTGCAGGGGGCCCAGTCGCTCTGCAGTATCTGTAAAAGAGTTTATACCACCAGTCAGGTGAGTTAAGGTTATGAGTGGCTGTGCTAGACCGTCTCATTTCTTATCACCTGTACTGAGACCCTTTTCTTTCCCAGGCTGGTTATTCACATCATTCCACTCTGGCTGGTGTCCATTGGTTGTGAGCTGTAACATGGACCTCAGAGATAGATCAGACTTATTACACAGCAACAGATTTGAATTCGATAAGCCTTGTAAACATGAGGTTGTCTGGTCTAAAGTCTTGCTTCCCCTCACCTGTTCAGGCTTTTGCTGCAGTCTCAACAGCTGACTGATGTAGCTCAGGATGAAGAGGAAGCTGAGGAAGGTGAAGTTACTAGCCACGCCTATAAGGGCTGACAGGATGGGGTAGTAAAACAGCAAATATCTGAGAAAAAGAGGGAAAAAAAACAATTAAAGATAGTATACTGTTGAAAACTGATGCCTAATTTTTAAAACAAATATATAAATGGTATATTTATTTACGAGAAAGTTATTAATTAGTTATTAATTTTCCTGTTAATTTCTTTCCTTTTGGACCTCCTAACACCCCAAAGATCTCATCAGAAAGATTCTTAAAATCTTTTTCCAGCCCCTAAATGGTGTTTTATGACTCCCTCAAGCTATATTAAAATCATTACATTGTTTGAAATGGTCGACAGAGCTTTCAAAAAGATCCTTTTTTTGTTTTATGTTATTGTCTCAAACAAAGATAACCAGAGTAAATACAAAGTTAAAATTTAAAATGATGATTTAATGAGGGAGTGGCGGCCTAGTGCTTAGGTTATTGGGCTTGGAATCCTGAGGTTCTGAGTTCGAGCCCCATTTCTGCGGACTGCCACTCTGGGGCTATGAGCAAGACCCTTAACCCCACATTGCTTCCTAGGTGCCCTACGAGGGCAGTCCACTGCTCCCCGAGGGGATGGGTTAAATGCATAGGTAAATTTCTCCATTGTGAGATCAATAAAGTTAAATTATTATTATTATTATGGGGAAAAACCAGCCCCCTCAACAAATCTGGGTTTGGATAAAAGTATTTTTCCTCATTGTTAAATCATTTGATCCTATTTATTCAGAAAGTTGAGTTTATTTCATTATCCTTTCATAGACCAATCTATCTCACCTCAAGCCGGTGAAATGGGCATGCACATACAGTTGAGAGGAGTAGATCTGGACCCTGCTAGATAGGACCTCAATGACTACTGTGACTGATGGGGCATACTGAAAACAAACAAAGGAAACATCAGCTTTAATTTACTTGTTTTTAGTGCCAGAAACTGAAGGAATTCACTTCTTAACTGTCACTCACTGGGTCATCTACGAACTCTGAGAAGAGCTCCACGTCCACAACCTGCTTCTGCTCAGCTGCTCCGCTCAGAAAGGCAGGGAGGAAGAGTAGCGTTCCCAGAGTCTTCAGCAGGTCGGATTGGTACCGCAGCATTCCCTAAACACAACAACGCTACACATTTTATATACAGAGGTTGTAAATATGTTGGCAGCCCTTTAAAAATATGTAGAAATCCCTGAAACAGATTTGTTCATTGCAGCTGTAATATTTTATTTAACCTCATTTATTTAGCTGAGGATTAAATAGAAATAAAGGAATATAGGACAGGATTCTTTACGCAGTGTTTGTCAATCATCCAGGGTCATTTTCTCATCTTCGCTCAGGTGTGGGAACTGAAACTGCCATGGAAAAAGTTTGCATTGATGATCAACTTAAACGTTCTCATTCTCCTATATTCAAAGACTTTTTTTTCAAAATGCCAACACATTTCAGAATTTAAAATCATGAACAAGATAAACAGATCCAGCAGCAGATTTTGTCAGAATTAAACCCAATATGTAAATTTCTTCCTACTCGTTCTTTGCACCATAGCTGGTTAAAATCTTTCATTGTTGCATGGGATTAAGTGTCTCACTAAAGTGAAATATACAAACAGCTCACTTAAATCCAATAGTGAGTATACTTCAGATGTAAGACAATGTCTTCAGAGTCACATCTTATTTTTACCCTTTAAACCCCCCAAAAGATCCTGTACTCCAGTTCAATTAAGGCATTACAAAATAAATACTTAATTAAACATCAAATAAAAATATGCAGTTTGTAGCACTGTTGTTTTGCAGCAACAAAGTTCTTGGTTCAATTCCCGGGCCAGGGTATTTATGCATGGAGTTTGCATGTTCACCATGTGCATGCATGGGTTCTTTCCGGGTACTCCAGCTTCCTACCACTGTCAAAAAACATGACCGTTAATTAGCATCTCTAAATTGTGTGCATGGTTGTATGTCTCTGTGTTGCCCTGCAACAGAGACCTGTGTTCAGGGTGTACTCCGCCTCTCGCAGATAGACTGCCAGAGATAGGTACAGCAATGGAATAAGCGGGAGAAGATGGATAGATGGATAATACTTTAACTGAAAATATACACATGCTTTTTGGTAGCATAAAAACACCTTCTGTGTCATTCACTCAGGGATCTGAGTCAAAACAAGCTCGTCATAAGAACAAGCAGCTCTGACCAGCACACATTGCGGCTATGATTAAAGTTAATACAGATCAAGGCTGTACTCACAAAACGAGAGCTGGACGCCTTCTGCAGCTGACTTGCCTGAAAAACACATGACTTTAAGAATCACTGCAGAAAATTATCATTTTTAGAGCAGAAACCAAGAGTAGGGCTTACGGTGCGAGCAGAGGAAGCAAGTTTGTCTCCACCCTGGGAGAAACAGGTAGTCTTGATCATGAACATTCCAACCTCATGATTGGCGGGGGAGTCAGGCATCTCCAGCTGCAAGTACATCCGATACGCCTGGCCAAATGTCAGCGCCTACGACAACCAGAAAATGATCAGAATGTATACATTTGGTTGCTTAAATGTTCATGCACTTTGTCACATATTGAAATCACAAGTGACACATATTGTATTGGGATTTTAAATTATTAAATAACCCAGAGTATCACAACAAGGCAATGTGGTTTTCAATTTCCATAATAACAAACGGAAATCGAGGAAACTGTGTGGAGCTTTTATGTTCTATAGTGTTTTTTAGGACCAAAACACAGACATGAGTGTGGAATGTGCATAATGAAGAATTAATCATGAGAAGGAAATAAAAGAAGAAAAGCAGTACGGGGAAGAATTACAGAAAATAAAAGGCAATGTAACAGTAGAATTCAACAAGGATCCACAGGCAAAACTGAACTTCAATACTCAGGGAAGGGAGGAGAATGACATAGAAAGCAATAATCAGAGATCCTGTGTACATACATAGTTCTTGCTTCTCATCAAAGAGACATTAGCCACAGGATAAGAGCACCAGAAAGATGATGGTGACTCACAGTCTGTCCTGTAATCAAATAAAGGTATTTCATAAAAAATGTGCGGTATTATGGGTCCTTTGCAGCTGCATTTTACCCACCTGTAATAATAGTACACCGGTGCAGAAAAAGCAGCTTTGGGCATGTAGGAGAAGTAGAAGGTCCCATATAAAAAAGCAGCGATCAAAAGGAGAAGAATCACAATGGAGAACACAGTTAAGCCCTGCAGGACTCTCTGACGTGCTCGTGAGATTCCCAGAATCACTGTTTGCTGGAGCCTTAGCAGAATCTGACCGATTATGACCAAAGGTTCTCCGACATCTTCCTCTGAGGCCAGATGGTTTTCCTGATCCATAAGATCTGAAATTAAAGAAATGCAGGGTAGCAGAGCAGGGAAACTAAAAAGAATAACGCTGACCCAATAAGCACATGATGACACTTGTGAAATATTTCAGAAATAAAGCTTACTCTCATAAAGCTTCACACAGAAATAATCAGTTACAAAGGAAGAGCAAAAGCCTTCTAAGAAATGAGATCACTGAAAACCCCCGAGTCCAATCCAAGTCCCACTGTGAGGCTGCTTACATCAGATGACTCCAAACTGGGCCAAGAATCAGCCTCCAGTCCGACTTCACTGGATATAAAGTTTATCCATTTCACAAACAGAACTATCAAAAATTGCTGCACAGAAAACCAAGAACTTCATGATTAAATCAAGTGCTATAAACCTGTTTGAACAAGAAAGTTTTGATCTGATTTACAGAAGAGACTGCTAAGGTAGACCGCTTTCCAGCCTTGCAGTCATTTTCTCAAAGATAAAACTGAATGTTTGTGACTGAGTATGTTAAAGTTCATGGATCAGGGACTTTTAACGCAAGTTCTTGAATTTATCATTCTAATTAGACAGTTCATATCTAAAAAGGAAAAAAATGAAGAGGAAAACATAAAGTCACTGAGTTCTTTTGAAATGTAAAGCTATAAACCAGCAGGAATAGGTTTCCAGTCGCCCTTTTTAAGATCAGCAACTCACCGCCGGTTTGTCTTGGCCGACTAAGCGCTGTTAGGAAACTTCTCCCCGAAGTCTCTCTGTGCAAAATGATCTTGGTGAAATGTAAAAACAACTCCCCTAAGCATCTTATCATCTGTCATTGGATGGAGTTTAGTCCAGCCCACATCTACAAAGCTGCTTAGAGCTCAAACAGCATTAAAAATAAATGTTATCTTTAAGCTTTTTTTGATTATGTCAGTTTTCATTTAAATGTATCAGTTTTATAGATTTGAAGTTGTTGCCTTGATTTTGATTTACAATATGAAATAGTTTTATCTTAAGATCTTTGAATTTTCTTATAATAGTTGCTTTATTTGCCTCCCTTTATCTTATTTTTCTTTTAGTTTACTTTCTGTCTGTTTTGCTTCTCTGATTTTCTCTCATTACCATCTGACCACCTGTTCTGTTTCTTCTTCACCCACCTGCATTCAATCCACCAATTATTCTCTCAAAAACAAAAACTGGTGAAAGGTGAATTCTACTGTGATTGTTCTCTGTTTCCCTTTGGAACTGTTACGGTTGCCCACAATCCTTTGCATGACAGGAAGTACAGTATATGCACAGTCCACCTCCGAGTTTAACAAAAATACATCATATTAGGGTTACCAATCTGTGAAAATTAAAGAAGGCACACTTCTGCACTAGGCATTGTCTTCCACCATATCGACATTATGAATTTATTTTCACCTTTCCTTGTCTGTGTGAGATTTGATTTGTAAACATTTAAATCAAACCTGAATTAAATCAAACACAGAATTTCTTTTCTTAGCATTGGACAGCTCTGTCTTTAAATTTATTTTTCTTTTTAAGTGTCCTGTCTGGCGATGTGGCAATAAGAATAATTGTCTTGATGCCAAACAGAGCCCAACAGATTTTGCTTTCACAAGTGGAGCAGTACGGCTATCGCCACAGTGTTCCACTTGATTTATACATATAAATAGCTTTATTATAATTCATGCAAGGAGAATTACAGATTATATGGACACTGCACTGAGTTGTTTTATTTTATGGGTCAGAATTCTCGCTGCAGAGTTTTGCACAAATTGCAGTCAAGAAAGCTCCTTCTTGTTCAGACATGAAAACAAACTATTACAATAGTCTAAACGCAAAGAAACAAAAGGCATGAATTATAAGTTCCAGATCATGCCTCGAGACCATGTTCCTTAGTTTAGAGATTATCCTTAGTTGAAAGAAGCTGTTTGGTTATATGGGGTTTTAAACGTGAGACGAGGATCTAAGATTCTATTCTGGATTTCACAGGACGCCAATGAAGAGAAGCTTGGATAGGAGAGATATGATCTATGTTTTTAATTTTCATCAGAATTGTGGATCAACTGAAAACTTTTAACAGTAATTTGTGGACTTCCTGATGGTGAAGAATTACAGTAGTTCAGCCTTGAAGTAACAAATACATGGACTAGTTTCTCAGCATCACCCCTGGACAGGATGGTTCTAATTTATGCAATATTCCAGAGATAAAAGAAGGAAATTTGAGAAACCAGCTCGACAAGAGATTTGAATGACAGGTGCTGATCAAAAATATCATCAGGGTTTTATACTTTATTATCTTTTGTCTTTTTTATATTCCGATGAGGTGACTGATTGATATAAAGGATTAGTTTAATCAAAATGTATGGACCAATAAAGCCCTGTGCTAAATAAAGCTTGCTGTGAGGATGGGTGTCCTGTGTTCAGAAATGTGAATTATTGCGTTGCAACTGAATATTTTGTTGTGATATTTCTAAAAAAAAAAAAAAAAAAAAAAGCACTTTTCAGAAATGTTATGACATAGAAACCCAATCACAAACGTAGGCTTGTGGCCACTGCATTGATAGCTGTTTGTAACATCCCCTCTGGCAAGTAATGCCACTTGAGTAGCAAGAAAAGAATAACTGTCCCTTTCTCGTGGGATTTTGGGGTTTCATTTTTCTAGGAAGACCAGTTCAGATTGTTACGATGTCTTCCTGCCACTGCACTTCTCAGAATGACCTGTAGTTTCTGAGCGGATCTTCAGGGCTAAATTTGGTCAAACCTTTCAGTGTAACTTTTGCCTTTTTACATGATCTGTCATTGTACCTGATCAACTGCAGGATAAACTGTCTATGTAACAGGTTAACATTTTGAATTACATAGACAAGAAGTTACAAGCTTTAGAGTCATCTTCTGTAGGAAACTGTGGCTCAGTGTGTAGAGTTGTTGTCTTGCAGTTAAAGATTTTGAGCTTCAGTCGAGTTTCTTGCTTAATGTGCTGTTTTATCTTTCAATAAGGCACTTAACTGCAGGTGCAGGGTGTGATTGGGGGAATGTCAGTATGAGGATAAAAGAACTAAAGTGGTTTTGTGCCCAAGCCTGCAGTAAAGCATATCTTACATGTGCTCCATAAGAATTACTTCAAAGCTCTTAGTTTAAAACCCTTTTATGTGTTTCTTAATTCTTGTCCCATTATTTCCATGTATAGTAATTTGTGATTTAGTGGCATTGGGATAAGTTGTGTGTTGTGTTAACAACAGGTGCCAAACTGAGGTCAGTCAGAAGATGGGTCACTATAGGTTAATACATCTTCACACCACTTAAATATGTGCATTGATTCTGTACATCTCATAATTTTACTTATATTGTTATTTTTTTTCTTCTTCTTGGTTCTCTTCTTAAATATTGGTGGAAGTGCAACATTAAAGCCAGAATAAGGCTGGAGTTTCCCTTCTACAGAGCCACACAAAACACTGAGGCTTTTATGCACTTGTGGGGTTTTAACAAAATTTTATGTACTGTGTCAGATGATGGAGAATTACAATATAACAAGTTTTTCATTTAAGTGTTTTTTTTTAGCTGACACGTGTTTTTACATAAATAGAGATTTTAAATTGACACTTGTTTTATATAAATAATTGATTGTATTGTTATGATTTAGCAAATAAAGTTTTGTTAAAAGTCAAAAGTCCTCTTAAATATAATGTATAGGTTTTTAAACCTAGTCTACAAAATAAAAAGATACCTTTGATTTTTTGGGAAATGGACAGCACAAGACTGCAAATGTCTGAAACATAAGCCAACTTTAAGAAAAAAAGTATGAAACTCCCCTTAAAACCAGCGTGAACTATTGATGAAGATAACTGTATAAGATTACTAAAACGTCTAAAGCTTAAGAAGCAGAAAAAATAATAAATAGCAATGTTTAAAAATGTTTGCTACATACAATTTTTTGGGTTTTGAATATATATATATATATATATATATATATATATATATATATATATATATATATATATATATATATATATATATATATATATATATATATATATATATATATATATATATATATTTTTTTTTTTTTTTTTTTTTTTTTTTTTTTTTTCTTTTCTTTTTGGGATTTGTTCCTCTCACCCACCACCCAAATTAAATTTGGAACACAGGTGAACAAAGGAAAGTATTTTTTTTCTTTTTTCTGGAGGTGAGTGTTGTTTCCTACTTCCTTGTTTAACTCGTTTGCCAACCGCCATAAAACGCTACAAGAAGAAGAAAAAAGGAAAGAGCCAAACTTCCCATTTGATCCTCTAGAATAGAGGAGGATTTTCTCCGACCACTTGGGGGCGATATACTCTTACCGAGTAGCAACACCGCGCCAAACTCTTTTTCAACAAGAGAAGAAGACTGTAGCCGGAAAAGGCTCCAGACATCCTGTTGCATGTAGAAAACAGCTGAAAGGTAAACTGACTGCATGATATTTTATGAATTTCAGGTTTTTCTCTTCGTGTTAGTAATATTCAAACAAAGCTAATACTAAACGGGCTTTATTTGATACCGAATCCTATTTTTGTTTATGTAAGGACATTCCGGAAACGATTCTGTCTTTTTCTTTTTTTATTTCTTGGAAACTAACTTTTCCAAAAACAAAAATATATATATGAAAATATACAAACGGCAAAAAAAAAAAACATAAAAAAAACAACCAAATAGATCCCTCACTGATTTTATTATTCTGTTTAGGACTGAAACTCTTGCTGATATATTTTCCACACAGCTTAATTTTGATTGATTGACTTTATTGATCTCACAGTGAAGAAATGTACAGTATATACAGTGCGTCCACATATAACAGCTTTTTTTATTTATTTTTTATAGTGGTATCATTATACAGAGTTATTGCATAGGGTGTTTACATGGGTATTTATATAGTTGGATATGGATATATATATATATATATATATATATATATATATATATATATATATATATATATATATATATATATATATATATATATATATATATATATATATATATATATATATATTTTTTTTTTTTTTTTTTTTTTCTTTTCTTTTTGGGATTTGTTCCTCTCACCCACCACCCAAATTAAATTTGGAACACAGGTGAACAAAGGAAAGTATTTTTTTTCTTTTTTCTGGAGGTGAGTGTTGTTTCCTACTTCCTTGTTTAACTCGTTTGCCAACCGCCATAAAACGCTACAAGAAGAAGAAAAAAGGAAAGAGCCAAACTTCCCATTTGATCCTCTAGAATAGAGGAGGATTTTCTCCGACCACTTGGGGGCGATATACTCTTACCGAGTAGCAACACCGCGCCAAACTCTTTTTCAACAAGAGAAGAAGACTGTAGCCGGAAAAGGCTCCAGACATCCTGTTGCATGTAGAAAACAGCTGAAAGGTAAACTGACTGCATGATATTTTATGAATTTCAGGTTTTTCTCTTCGTGTTAGTAATATTCAAACAAAGCTAATACTAAACGGGCTTTATTTGATACCGAATCCTATTTTTGTTTATGTAAGGACATTCCGGAAACGATTCTGTCTTTTTCTTTTTTTATTTCTTGGAAACTAACTTTTCCAAAAACAAAAATATATATATGAAAATATACAAACGGCAAAAAAAAAAAACATAAAAAAAACAACCAAATAGATCCCTCACTGATTTTATTATTCTGTTTAGGACTGAAACTCTTGCTGATATATTTTCCACACAGCTTAATTTTGATTGATTGACTTTATTGATCTCACAGTGAAGAAATGTACAGTATATACAGTGCGTCCACATAT